CCAATACAGCCCAAGCAAGTCTAGAATATGTGTCAAGTTCAGATTACCACATTTTCAGATCCGAAAATGGATAAAGTCTCTGGGCTTCTTTTTATCATATTTTATAAATATAAATTAGGAACCATATTTTCTGTAAAATATGTTCATGTCATACACCAGCTGTTAGTCTCTCTACAAGTGCGCCTTTAACAAAACCACAACATGTAGTCTGTCTCACAGTCCCTGAACCACATTATTTTCCCTACAGCCTAGCCCTCTCTGCAATGCTAAAGCTCTAAATGAAGCAAGTCTCTTGTCTCCCTGGGTCTCCTTTTCAATTTAAATGGGTTTGTTGTTACTATCAAAATCATATATATTCAGAGACAAAGCGTTAGTGTACACAACCTGGAATACAGTTGTGTTCGAGCTTAGATACAAAGAATTTAAATGTTTTAAACGAACATTCAAGTCTCTAACTTTCAGGGTTGAATATTGGATGAACATTGCCTAATATAGATCATAATGTTCTGGGAATAAAATGTTTCGGATATCAAATACATGCTCTGGGGTTTGAACGAGAGGCTGGTGATCCCACCGCAGGTAATACAACCGCCACTGCTGCTTCTAATACCCATCGCATAATATCGTTTGCTCCTATTTTTCATATTAAGAGCCGACTATTTGACATATTAAAAGGCCGGTTGTGTCTATTACGGGATATGTAAAATCAATTTCCATAAAAAATGGAAATATGGACTACATGAGTTGATTTTCAGCTTTTAACCACCCCAATCTTCCAAAATTTATTATTCGCTAGTTATCATGGGTGTTCTGCATAAGAATTTAGATTCAAACTCATGGTCTAGAGAGATAAACTGCACTTCGAATATTTTTGCCGCTGAACCAATGACCCACTTCCAATCCAAGCCTCCCTTCCCCCTCTTAATAAAGTGGGGTGGTGGGGTAGCCTGGTGGTTAAAGCGTTGGATCGTCACGCCGAAGACCCAGGTTCGATTCCCTACATGGGCACACTGTGTGCAGCCCATTTCTGGTGTCCCCCGCCGTGATATTGCTGGAATATTGCTAAAAGCGGTGTAAAACTAAACTCAGTAAGTCAGTCAGTAAGTCAGTGTAGTGAGTGAGTTTAATTTTACGCCGCACTCAGCAATATTCCAGCTATATGGCGGCGGTCTGTAAATAATCGAGTCTGGACCAGACAATCCAGTGATCAACAACATGAGCATCGATCTGCGCAATTGGGAACCGATGACATGTGTCAACCAAGCCAGCGAGCCTGACCACCCGATCCCATTAGTCGCCTCTTACGACAAGCATGTGTTACTGAAGATCAATATTCTGACACGTACCTTCACGGGTGTAAATAAAGTACATGCACGACCGTTTAGACACAACAATCACTTTAAACAAGAAGTACATTTATGACCGCTTTTTTCCACGAAAATAAACTTTAAGTGATAAAAAAGAGAACTTACATCCTACCGAGATATCAGTTTCAATGTCAGATAGATGACATATGACGTAACACATCTTCACATATCTATAAACAACAGAGATACTTAAAAGTGTCTCGAATTCCTCTGCATTTTAGAAAAAAATATCATCACGACTCTCTTTCACCCAAGGTCACGCTAAGAAATAAAGCCAGAAAATTGGAAACTGTTATCTTTCATAATGACATCATTTCCGATTAATTATTCAGCGAGATTTCATGAAGAAACTCTAATTTGTGTAAAAGTGTGTTCTCGAGGCTTGAGATTTTAATTAATCAATGGCCTGAGCGCTGGACCGGAGGACAGCGGAATCTTTACAAGTTTAACACGCTTGTGTCCCTCGCAACGGTTCCGAAGGAAATGCCGGCATGCCTAATCGGTGACTCCAACACATGAACAAAGGGGAACTCATGGATTTGGGCCCCTTGTCCGTTACTCAACGCCTTTGTTGCGAAAACTAGGTCGAATTTAAGTCTCACACTACCACTTTTTATAAAATTGTATTACAAAAATATCATATCGTAACTTTCATTTTTGCAATTTTAAATTTATTCTATAATCTATAGCTTAAATCTTTTGTCTTAAACATTGACTGCTGAGGATAACGCCACACATCACTGACTGTCATTTTTGCAAAGTTCCAATTTATTCTATAATCTATAACTTATTATCGTTTGTTACATATTGTAATGAATGTATTTGGGGGATAAAGCCTTTGTACTGAAGTAAACTCGCTCTAATCGTTCGTCTTAATGATTGGACCCGTGAAGGTGCGGGTTAGAATATTGATCTTCAGTAACCCATGCTTGTCGTAAGAGGCGACTAACGGGATCGGGGAGCCAGGCTCGCTGACTTGGTTGACACATGTCATCGGTTCCCAATTGCGGAGATCGATGCTGATGCTGTTGATCACTGGATTGTCTGGTCCAGACTCGATTATTTACAGACCGCCGCCATATAGCTGGAATATTGCTGCTTGCGGCGTAAAACTAAACTCACTCTTAATGATTGACTTTAACTCCTGAAACTTAACTATCACTATTTAGCATTTTACGCAAAATGAAATCAGGCTTCGGCAGATAATCGAAGCTAATTTTTCGAAATTACACTTCTATTTACAGCTGTGTGATGTCTAGTTTTAGCATCTAACAGGAAATCCGGGTCTGAATGAATTTCCATTGTGCTATCCTGTCTAAATATCTCCCACGTAGATACAATGAATGACATAGCTACTATGTCACCGTGACCTGACGACTTGGGTCTTTGCTCTTTCTGTCAACCTCTGAAAAGCATGTCTAATTATTTACAAGCCGTCACCTTCAACTGTGATGTTGAGGACTATGGCATAAAACAGCATTCACTCACAAGTTTCTATAGTCCATACACACGTTTACCCTTGTGGTCAGAGATCGGCGTTAATTGAAGTAAATCGACGCTCTCTATAACGGTGTATTAAAGAACTTTCCGATGACCTCCGTTGGAATTCCTTGTTGGAAAAGGTCACTATGTTTGTCGTCCGAGGCGCTACTGGACCAGATTAACAGTCTGGTTGTTTTCGTGCCACCGTACTCCCACCGTTGCGGACGGTGTGTATAATATCAAGCATTGGTTTGCCTGCTCACAATGTCACACATCGGTTTGTATGATCCAGATTCAATTATGTAGATCCCGCAGTCAATTAGCTTGAATTTCCAGAGTGTGGTAAACAATACAAAGGTGAGGTGAGGTGAAATTGGGTTTATCGTCGTGCTTGAGAATATTTCGTTCATATGACGACGTGCATGCGTGTGTATGTGTATATGCGGCTGCTTGTACTAGCCCAGACTTAATAGTGCTAGCCCACTGAGATACCATGCCGCAGTGAAGCATGAATAACCCCACTCAGACACATTATACTGACTCCGAGCCGACCAGTCCTTGTTGTACCCATTAATGCCGAGCGCCAGGCAGGGACCAACAAGTACCATATTTTAACGTCTTTTGGTATGACGCGGTCGGGGAACGAACCCGCGACCTTCCGCTCTCCGGGCGGACGCTCTAACCACTACACCACACAGGCGGTTAACAATACAAAGAAAGAAATATACAACGAAAATCTTAACGCCAGGAATACGGTTCACAAATTGCTAAGTTGCTCTTTATCGGAATCGAACATCGTCCTGTTTGTGTTATAAAGACACACTCACTACTGGACTACAACGGTGTCATAAATGGGTCAGTGAGTGGCCGTTGTTAACTCCGCAATCGGTAACACCCCGACCATGCTACAGCGCCTTGAAAATAAGCGAAAAATACACAAATCATATGAATGAGCATCGAACCTCGCCACTAAACCAGGATGACACGCACTCATCAGGGCCACCCGTCCCATTTAATCACCTCGCACGCTAAACACTAGTCTGTCTCACAGTCCCTGAACCATATTAATTTCCCTACTGCCAAGCCCTCTCTGCAGTGCTAAAGCCCTAAATAAAGCAAGTCAGATTTCCTCAGGTTCAGGTTCTGAATCTCTGGTCTCCCTAGGGCTCCTTTTCAATATAAATGGGCTTGTTTGTTACTTTCAAAATTATATATATTCAGAGACTAAGCCTTAGTCTAGCTAAACACGTGTTACTGGGAAAACACGAGCCCGGAACCCCACGGGAAAGTGGCGTCATTAGTGATAACGACGCCAACTGTGACAGTACATCACAAGGGAAACAATATTGGCATACTGATAATGTCATTTTCATAGCATGTAATTAGCATATAGAGCCACTGCCTATCTGATATAGAAAAAATAAAATATCAGTGACGTCCTTTTTCTTTGATCTTCCATATTAACATTGTAACTTAGTTTATTAAGCCATTGTTGATTTATATGGATTATGTAAAAAAATACTTGGTTTATTTCAATGAAACCATTCATTTGTATTACAGAGGTTATTTTGTTAATTTCAAGACATTAAAATGTCATTTTCATGTTTTGTCTAATGTAGCTGCATATACAGCGTTACATGTTCAAATTTATATTTCATTAAAATCAAAATAGTGCGTTAATATCGATGTTGTTATTGAATTACGATGCTGAATTGCATGTTGTGGATGAATGGCTACACGAGAGTGTATTCATTGTACTCGGAGACCTCAAACCTCTCATGCTTCGCTTGTTTGAACAGCAAATAAATTTAAAGCCATGTTAGACAGCCATGGACTCCAAAACCCGCGAGTGTGTGTGCAGTAAATATCACATCATTCATATCCAGATATCATATTGGATGTGCTTCACTCACGGCCAAGTCCTCTAATAAGCACGTGATGCACGTGCATTGTTTGATGCACGTGTTTTCATTGATGCCCTAATGACCGCGTTATGATGAGAAGATATTATTGAACTCAATAATTCAAACCCGGCGGAACACTGTAAACTAAGAGTCGGGATAAATCGCCTACCGCGCTGTGCCGGGGGGTGGGGATCAGAGCGTTGTGGACGGCGATGTGACTATTCGATAGAACGCTAGCCTACTGTCAGTCGCGCTGTATCGCTGGACGCATTCGCACGCATCACTCAGCTGCTCGCCCGTCAGTTAGATTCAGTCTCTTTACCGTGTATGTCCCGAGAAAGCGTGACCCAGGAGAAACTAGCCCCAGGGGAGGGGAGTACTTTGTTTCGAACTCACTGGGGGCGGGCACTACTTGGTTAATCTGTTTGTGACTTCGTTACCGGACTGTGTCAAACGCCTACCACCTGATCAGATGGGTACCGTTTTTGTGTGGGTGTAATTATTACATCATTTGGATTATCCCTGGATTATACAGACAGCATTCGCTCACAGCCGGTGCCACATATGGCCCCCGACGAAATCAGAGTGCTACCGAGCATGCGCATAGGGTAAGCACCGTACCCCTCGAGGCGAGGAGCTTTTGAAATTGGATCCGTAGAAGAAAGTTTAGGCGTCTAGCAGTGTGGATCTGGCATTGTGGAACATGCGAGCCTCTTGGATTAGTTTCGCTAGAGAATGAACAGCGAACATGATTTCCCTTGATTGGATTATACTCTGGATATTCTGCCTAGCTGTCTTACAAGTATGGATCGCCGAATCTAGTAAGTAAAAGTATAACACTACGTCTAGTTTGGGAAGTTTTCAAAGATGCCTGTTGCTAACTTTGAGGGTCGGACGCTCGAGTCTACACTCACAGGCATAGCTGAAGACCAAAATAGGTACATGGCATATGTTCTGAGTTCTTGGCGATGTGGAGGGGTATTATGATCCCCCTTTACGGGTTCACAGTCGCTGTTTCAAAGTGGGTTACTCTTGGGATAAATCCAGTGGGTCTGGAGATTTCTCTTTGAGTGACACATTGGGAGTCGTGGTAATAGGTGTTAGCGGAAGTAATAGATTTTGAACGTGAACATGATGAGAAACCCGTGGGTGATTCACTCTCAGTGCTTGGAGCTATGTTGTTTCCCCACATACCCTCTGTAGCCGTATAATTCGTATTTTCCAAGCCTTTACTTCGACCTCCGCTCAGGCGTCTCAACATCCATTCCGCCATGGATCACGTCAGCGAGTTTGTTCGCGTCACCGGACAAATCTCGCATAGTGGCCTCGACTTCTTGTGCCCAATCCTCGGGGATAAATCTCTTCTGTACCCACAACTAGATAAGCGGTCATAAAATAATTTTTACAGATGCTTGTTTTTTATGGCGTATTTTAACATATTCCTTTCTCAAACGCCCTTACATTTCTGGACACTAATGAACTTTCATGTCATACCGGCACCCATTCTCACGCCCCCATAGTTTGACAGAGTCCCAAGTAAAACATTTCACAATGTGTACTTGCGTCTCATGTGGGGGATCTATCACGTGGTGACGGTTTTGTTAGTTGGTTCCACAGCACTGTAGTCCTGTTATAGAACGATTGTGTTGTGTTGATGCCGAGCGATGAGTGGGACTCCTTGTATTCGCGAGTCACTTGTTGCGCGCTATATCGATAGTGCCCTGACTGGTGTTCTGAGTAACTGCGTTCGTTGATGTGCAGAACATAAGTTTTGAGTCATAAGCCACAAGTTGTGGATCCAATTTCCGTTCTTCCCCTCGACGTTTCCTATACATTGTACTCCTGTGTCCAGTTTTACCAGAAGTAATGCGATGCATGGTACAGAAATCACCCTAAAAGTATGACTGGAATATAAATATCATGGACCCAAACCCATCTAAATATACCTTTTATAAAAGCAAGCCTAGCAGGTCTGTTTCCATCGTTTTAGAATAACTCTGTTAAATGTCGAACGAGAAACGTTTGTATAAGGATCTAGATGTAATAAGGTCTGGAACAACACAAGAAAACACAAACAACGTCAAGTGATGGATGTCTACCGTAAGCATCATCACTTCACGTTTGTCAAATGAGAAATGTCTCGTTTTAAGCGGAGGCTGATCAGTTACTCGTGATGTCCTTTATGTGTAACACACAGTACTATAATTACACCTTGTTTCCATGTAGTATTTATCAGGCTCGTAAGAGGTGTGTCGACGATGATTGTTACCCTATAGCGCCTGTCCCATATGTGACCTTAAGAACCCCATCTCCAAGTTGAACATGGATGTGGAACATGATTTAGATTCAGGGACAAAGCTTCAGGTCGTCTCTGCTATTCCTGTCGTGTGTATTTAACATTAAGCATACTCCAATGATCCCGCTCAAAGGGTCGGGTTCCTTCGAATGGAATGTTGGAAGATCTTAATGCGAAAAACATGTTTCGTCATGTAGAACAATAGACTGTTTGTCCTATGAGTCTCTTCCGCATGAGCAGAGAGATAATTCATAGTTCTCAGATATATCACATAAATATCAATTTACTTTCTTCAGAATGAACTTGGGATCTAGCTTTGACCGACAACGCGTATTGAATATTACATATTTCAATCTGAAATAAAAACAAATAATCGTACACTGTATGGTATTTGTTTGATGAAATACGTTTGTATTTCTTGTAAAGTGACACACACATCGAAATAATGTAACCTGATCAATAGTCTGTTGTGTTTGTTACCGTTCGTGGCAACAGTTATCAGTTGTAAGATGAGTGCAGCTGGGTAACTGTGATGTGAACATTTAACTCACTCATTCAAAGGTTATTTGGAATACTGGTGGTATCTGAGGTACTTATAGTGAGTGAGTGAGTGAGTGAGTGAGTTTAGGTTTACGCCGCACTCAGCAATAGTCCAGCTATACGAAGGCTGTGGCTGTAAATAATCGAGTCTGGACCAGACAATCCAGTGATCAACGATCTGTGCATTTGGGAAGACATGTGTCAACCAAGTCAGTGAGTCTGACCACCCGATCCCGTTAGTCGCCTCTTACGACAAGCATGGGTTACTGAAGACCAATTCTCACGCGGATCTTCAAGTGAGAGTCAGACGTTTCCTACACATTCAAGTAAGATGGGGATATGTGGACTTGCTGAGGTATTTTTCCGGTGTTTATGAATGAATAATCTCATCTCGGAAGCAGTTTGACCTATCAAAGTCCATTTGGCCAATGAAGGGTTATTTTTACCCATGACAAACAGAAACATTTGTTTGGATTATACAAAAAGCGCTTTCTGTAGTCCCTCAGTTTTATCAGTCAGAGGCAGCCCAGTGATAGAAGCGTTTGCTCATCACGCCGACGACCTGGTTCGATTCCTCATGTGTTACGTAGATAAGCTGGAATATTGTTGATAGTTGTGTCAAACTCAGTTCCCTCACTCACTCTGGTGTTAACAATACTGCTTGAGGTAATACAGATTGTACTGTAGAACTGGTTAATCTCACTCTGAATACCGGTGGGGTAGCCTTGTGGTTAAAGCGTTCGCTCGTCACGCCGAAGACCCGGGTTCGATTCCCAGTAGGTACAATGTGTTGAACCAATTTCTGCTGTCCCCCGTCCTGTTATTACTGAATATTGCTAAAAGCGGCATAAAACCATTCTCACTATGGCGATGCCCGCACAATGGTACAAATCTATCTGTAGAAAAAGCTGCATTACGATAATATTCCATCCATAATCTCACTCTGAATACCGGTGGGGTAGCCTTGTGGTTAAAGCGTTCGCTCGTCACGCCGAAGACCCGGGTTCGATTCCCAGTAGGTACAATGTGTTGAACCCATTTCTGCTGTCCCCCGTCCTGTTATTACTGAATATTGCTAAAAGCGGCATAAAACCATTCTCACTATGGCGATGCCCGCACAATGGTACAAATCTATCTGTAGAAAAAGCTGCATTACGATAATATTCCATCCAATTTAACTCTCTCGTTGGCTGAAATGTTATCTCTACTTCGTGAGTTTACTACAGTTAATGGCAGACTTTTTATTATTTATAAAGTTATAATAGGAATTTGAAGTAATATAAAAACGTGTATACGACTCCAAGTTAAGAGGTCCATCGTTACTCGTCAAGCGAGTTCGATCAATAATGTTTGTTTCTGGTGCAGTTACATTAGTACATATTACATGCGAGATAATTCTATCATCACCGCTGTGTAATCTCGTATCATGGGAGGTTACGTGTGTAACATACGAGGTTACGTCATGTTACAGTGACCAGGCAGGTATCGAGTTACAGACAGCGGCAACATGATGCTTAGCAATGTCTTTGACGGCATAGTAGGTATCAGCTGTTCTGAAGGATGAACATCGACTCTTCATTCCTGACCTTCGTTACGCAAAGCAATCCTAGCCCAGCGACGGTCGTAAGCGTATTTTAAAATATTCCTGTTACGATCGCCTTAGCGCTACAATAGCTTTGTGCAACTGGGCCATTGTCGCGTGTTTGGAACTGTTGTAGCGGAGCGTGGAATTAAACTCAGCTCCATTTGACATTGTGTGACAGTTTTTTAATAATTCGGGTTTTTTCTTTTTTTCAAAATTTGATGGGTTGGTCTAGGGTGAAAGCTTTCGCGCGTCATGTCGACTCCCCGACCTGACGTGGCTTCTGTTGGAACGGTGGATGAAGGGATTTGGTCGTCATTGGAGTAACCACTAAGTACAACCTGTTCAAGAACTACACTGCACTTAGGTCGTTCGTAAGGGCTGTTCATGTCAGGGCGTCGGGGTAACCTAATGGTTAAAGCGTCCGCTCGTCACGCTGAAGACGTGGGTTCGATTCCCCACATGGGTACAATGTGTGCAGCCCATTTCTGGTGTTCCCCGTCGTGATATTGCTGGAACATTGGTAAAAGTGGCGTAAAACAATACTCACTCACTTTACATGTTCAATTTAACGATATTACGCAAGGTTTCATTGACATGGTGATATATTTCAACCAGATGTTGTTGTTTATTGTTTAACACCACACTCAGCAACATGTTAGCTATAAGCCGCCTGCCTATAATGTTCGGGTCTGAACCAGTCAACCCAATGATTGAAGTCATGAGCATCGATCTGTCAATATGTCAGCCAAACAGCAGGATGAACAACAATGATATTTACTAAGATTACAAGAATGTTTCTACATAAAGTGTATTTTTAAAGCAGTTTATCTTTACATTAAACGTTTCTATTTGAAGCGAACAGATTTCATTTGACAGGTTTGGATAACTTTCTTTCTCTCGTTAATCATCCATACCAACACGCAAACCGAAATTCAAATACTGACACCGAAGGCTGTTCTATTCTCTCTTTGTTGAAGAACGCATTTTAATTCATATTCTTGTGTATGTCAATGCTGGAAACACCGCACAGCCTGTGGTGTCGTACACAAACGAATACAAGCGTCTCCTGGGGATTTGTTTCATTATAAGAGTATCCAAGTAAAAAACATCATCATATTTATTGTAGATTGTATTTGCTGTGGTAAAACGACACCGAAAAGCTCTCCACTAAATTAGATCCATGTAGAACGTGTAGTGTTTTGGTCCAATTACGCAATGCATATAAAATCGATCACTTTCAGTTGTACATCCACTTGGACGATGGTTTGAACAAGTGGTCATTGATTAAATCCCTAACAATCAAATACGCGAAAGAACAGATCTACAGTTTCTGAAGAAGTGTAACAATGCCTTCAAACTAACAAGATTTCTATCGACAGAGGTGTAGCAACCTTGCAAAG